CTGTTGCCATTAAAACGGGTAAAGAATTGACACAATCGATGCATGTGTGTAGCAATCATTTTGAACGAAGCAATTATTTCCCAACAAGTAAGTCTGCGTAATCACTATCCATTCATTCTGGGCACATTGTCTTCCTTATCCTTATAAAAATTATCATTTTGATTGCATTCTCTTTCTAGATGGGCCTAACCAGAAACCCAAATTAAAAAAGAATGTGGTCCCTTCACAAAATTTGCCTGTCAGGACCCATGATAGGTGTGAGCTCTCTCCTGTCAAACGTCGAAAGCAAGCAAGGAGTGACAGGGCAGCAAAGCGGGCTATTTGGTGAGTAGTTTTCTAGCTTCTACCAAGGTGGTTGAGTAACATGCTGATTTCATAATCACATTTATCTATTTTTTCATTTCAGGAGCAATATCACTTCTGAAGAAGCAAATTCCAGCAATGAAAACGAAGCTCCAGGAGATCAGGAACAAGGTCAGGATGTCATGTTTTGTAAACAAGCTTCCTTATCTTCTCCACGGTTGATATTTTAGATTCCAATGTGTTATGATTTTTATTGACAGGGTCTGAGACTTGTTGTAATTTATTTTTTTCATTTTTGAAAGCAATCAGGGATGCGCTCTTTTCTGTTTCCCTTTTTGGGAAGGATTCTCTTAGTGGCATTTATTTTCATCAATCAAAAGTTACCCATTATCAATCACTCCTTGCAGATATTGTTTTAATTTTTTGTTGTTTTTTTGAATGAATTGTTTCGTTTTAATTTGTTTTGTCAGTTGTTGCTCCACTGTTGTTTAAGCCATGCTACTGTATTGCTGATGTATTTTGTGGCCTTGTGTGTAATAAAATTTCTTTGCAGTCTCATTTTAATTACATTTTTTTAATTGGTTCCAATTTGACTTTGCCATGTTACAGTTGAGAACACTAACACAGAAGGTGATGACAGTTGGAGGGATGTACCTCAGGTGGCAGATCTCGCTCCCAGGGACCGAATTAAACTGGCTGAGATCGGTATCCAGGTTGGAGATAATCTGCCATCACTTGTTATCAGCATAATGGAGACTGACAAGAAATTGAAAAGTACAACTGGCCTCCATTCTGTCAAGTTGCTTGATTCCCTCACTAAGTGTGCTGATGAAATTGCTCCTGATAATCCTTGCAAGAAACTTCAAATGAGTACTAAAAGCAGAATAGTGCTGACCATGATGAAGATCAAACTTTCAATTAGCTTTTCTTCATTAGCTGTGCTTTTTGACATAAATATTCAGACTTGCTGCAACTACATTTATGACATGATTGCCGTTCTTTCCAAAATTCTAAAGTGCATGATATTTTGGCCAAGCAAGGAGGAGATACTCATGAATATGCCAAAGTGTTTCAGAGGTTTTGGTAAAACAAGAGTAGTACTTGACTGTTACGAGATACCAGTTGGGAAGCCTAAATGTATTGTGTGCAGAGTAAAAACCTACTCTCATTACAAGAAAGGTCACACTGCCAAGGTTTCCATGAACATTACTCCATCAGGTCTCATCTGTCTGTGTTCTGTTGCCTTTGGTGGAAGGGCCTCAGACAAGGTAATTACTCAAAACACAGGTGTTTATGATAAATGTGATCCTGGGGATGGAATTATGGTTGACAAGGGGTACCACATTGAAGAGGAATGTGAAAACAATATGCTAGTGCTGATTCGACCCCCTTTCCTGCGCAATAATAGAAAGTTTAGTAGAGCAGAAGCTGTGCAATGTGCCAAGATTGCCAGGGCCAGAGTTCATATAGAGAGAGTTATTCAAAGGGTCAGGTGCTTCAATATTTTAAAGAGCAGAATTCCCTGGAATTTAGTACCTTTCATTGATGACCTTGTCATTATAGTTTCAGCCCTGGTCAACTTAGGAAACCCTATTTTGGCTAGGAACAAGTATTGAACAATTGGAAAGTATATCTGATAATATTTGTTATTATGTACCTTTTATGTTGTACTAAGGAAGTACTCCAAATAACTTTAATTTTTCTTTTATGTGTGAGACAAAGACAGTCAATTTTTATCTTTATTCTTTTATTAGCAATCCTGTAAATGGTTGTAGGTATTCTATACCTAATTTGTAACACTAGTCTGACTATCGCTCAGCCAATAACATTACTTGTGGGACCTGTGGTTTCTGATTTTTTTAAAAACCAAATTTTTGAGCTAGAATGCTCTTCTTCGAACTCGATCTGTCTTTTTATGATACAAAACGACCCTGAAAATCCCAGGTCGCTAGCTCAATTCGTTCTCGAGTTATCGTGCGCACAGACAGACACACACACAGACAGACAGACGCGAAACTTTTTGATCGTCACTGGGGTAAAAGGCTTCGCTATCGCTCAGCCAATGACACAAAACGACCCTGAAAATCCCAGGTCGCTGGCTCAATTTGCTCTCGAGGTATCGTGATGACAGACAGACGCGAAACTTTTTGATCATCACTGGAGTAATTCGCGTTTCCAGTAGCGCCACTCCCGCCCCTGGCGGCCGACGCGCGAACTAGGAAGAGCGTGACCGACTGGGCGTCGCGCCGCTTGTTTACATAGGACTCACACCCAACACACACATTAACCGGTCGCCCTGCTCTCTAGTTTTCTAAATATCGTGAAAATTGTGAAGTATTTCTTATTTGGAATGGGTGATGTGCAAGATCCGACTGATGGCGAACCCAAAAAGCAACGGGAGCGGCATAACTGTTGCGTTCCTCAGTGTTCGGCGGTAAAAAATGAATCAAACCACTTGCACAGGGTCCCTAGGGATCCAGCTCTGAGAAAATTGTGGGCTGTTGCCATTAAAACGGGTAAAGAATTGACACAATCGATGCATGTGTGTAGCAATCATTTTGAACGAAGCAATTATTTCCCAACAAGTAAGTCT